ACCGCTTCCGTCGTTCGTCGACAACTAAACTGATGGCCGGGCAAAATGGCCAAAGTTGGGTGGTGCAACTTGCAACCTTCTTCGCACATACTAAATATACACAATCTTGGGCTGCGAAAAATTGATTTTGTTTAGTGATTTCAGCCACGCCCCTGGATGGCCTGCTAGCCGTCTGTCAATCAATGAATTCCCTCTAAGGCTGCAAAAAAAATGGCCAAGTGTCGCTTTTCTCTCTCTCTCTCTCTCTCTCCCTCGGTATTTATGCCTTTCTCCACCGGCTTGCATTTGTTTTACACATTTTTGTTGCAGTTTAGTTGTAATTTTTCTATTTTCCTTTTTTCCTGCACTTGCACCCGTTGCCGGCTAATTCAATTAGAGTTGTGCTAAGTGCGCTTCAAGGCTGTCGGAATGCACACACGCCGTCGACGGAACAGCGAGGGTTGCTAATGAGGTATACTACAAAATTACGAGTACTTGCCTGAAATCACATTATGCAAAAATTCAATTTCCCTAATGAAAGGCTTTAATAGCAGTAAGCGCTACAGAAACTAAATCATCTAATATGAATGTATTTATATTCAATTCAAAGCACTGCATTTCATGAGCTGTTTTTTGGAAGCGATTTCGTAAACATGAATATGAAACCATAAGAGCAGCAAGAAAAGAATAAATTATTTATTGTCCCAATATTTGAATGGATTTCACAAAGATTAGATTCCATTTTCTAAATGATACAAATATATATATTGCCCAATTTTTCATAGTTATTTAGTTTGTAATATGTTGATTAAAGTTTACTTCAAGTTTAACAGGAAAACGAAATTTTTTTATCAATTTTTTGTTAAATTTGGAATGACTCATAAGCGAAAAATGTTTCATCTTTTATACGAAAAGAATCATGACTCTTCTAAATTAAAATCAGATATTATACTTTAATTTCACAGTTACCCTAGGCTTTTACTTTTCCCAATGGATGTAAAAGCCCTCCTCGCTGGGAAAAAATCGATGGCTTTTCTCTTGCCACATTTTTAATTGTTATGCCTGCTCTAATGAAACCCCGCTCCATTGGAGGGCGATGACGTCCAGCCCAGTCCACCCAACAAAAAAAAAAAACAAATAAAAAATAAAACCCTTCCTCCAGATATCTCCATACTCGTATGATGTTGTCCTCCGCTGGCAGAGTCATCAACTGATGCGTACTTTTCCCTTTTTTTTTTTTTGGGTATGGGGTGTGACATGTGACACAATTTGTTTGTTCTTTGTTGCTCTTACATCGTTTGTTTTTTTTTTTTTTTTTTTTTTTGTGTTCCTTTGCCTATTTGGATGCTGTGACAGACAGTCCACAAAAGATTGGCCCCCGTGTGTGTGTTCATATGGGCAAATATATGTATCAACGGTATACTATGTAGGGTTCTACTAACGACTTTACCATCTGGCTTTGTAGGTAAAATAAACGCTCACGTAAGCATCAAATTGTCAGTGGGATGTGCGGACTTAATTTATCCAGTCGAAAAGGGAAGCTTTCATTATACCCTGCAGCCTCAATGTCTCTTTCTAATCAACTCGATTTCCGCATTTGGCCACTGCTCGATTGGTCTGTTTAATCACTAAACTGTGCTTAATTGGTTTTCTTCACGAACTTTATTCCTTTAGTTTGTGTAGTTTTCGAACAGAGAACGTGCAGAAGACCAGGATTTACAACCCTTAAGACGGCGATTAACATGGCAGGTCCATATTAGGAGCAAAAGTTAAGAAAAATATCTATCCTTAACTGTCTAAATCGGGATATAATTAGGGAAAAGATGAGCTCAACAAGGTATTAGAATTTTAAATCAATAAAATAACTATACAAAAACTCACATTAATATAGTTGGCTAAATTTATAATAACTTAACTGTCACTATATTTGAAATAGTTTTAATTTTCAATGTCAAGATAAATGTATTTAATAATAATAATACTTTATAACATAAAAAAATCTCAATTTAATCCACATTTGTATAAAAGAAGTTACCTTGAACTTATTGTGGAAAATTTAAATGCTAAAGGGGTGCAAAATTCAGAGAACCAAAAAAAAAATTAGATTTTCATCCACCATTTATACAGGTAGCCGACTCAGTTATTCCCTTGACAACCATTCGATGCATGCTTATTTCCTTCAAGCATTGTCCTTTGCAATTTAAAGTCCTTTATTCATTTTTTATAAAGGCCAAGCTTGAACCTTAAATCTAAACTGGTGGTGGTTGAACGTTGTAAAATGGTAATAAAGTTTTATCGTAACAATTCGTTTAAAAAACATGTTTTAAGAAATTCTCATTATTATTTAGCTTAATTTTTTTTTTGTTTGTGTGTTTATAAATATTGTTTCAAATATGAATATAATCACATACTGTTTGGAGGTCTTTTTGGATGTCTGTGGAACATTTATTTGTATATATGATTTGGTATTTAAATCTTTAAGATAATTTTGGCAGAAGCAAGTAGACATAAACCTGGCCGTTTCTAAGTATACCAGTTTATAGGGTAGTTTACTTGCAATTAAAAATAATATTTTAAAGGTTTTTTTTGTACTAACAAGACGGATCGTTTGGGATTATATCAAAAGTATTTTTATATTTCTTCGATTTGATAAAGAATTTGAATGGCGCATTCACATGCTAGGGCTAAATCGACCACAATGCATTGTGGTAATGAAATTGGCAAGTTCATTAAACCTGCTCTTATCTCCAGAATTCCGAGACTGCTTTGGCTGGCATAAACAAAAGACGAAGAAGAGAAAGAGGAGGAGAAGGAGAAGGAGAGACGAAGGCGAGAAAGAGCACAAAAAGAAAAATAAACGCAGTGCAATCAAAGTGCAGCGATGGCCTTGCGACTTCGATTCGTGGGAAGAAGAAGAGGACGATCACGCACACAGGCACACACTACACACACGCACACACGCACACGCACATACGAATTACTTATGGAGTAAATTTACTTGGTCAAGTAAATCGAAACACTTGCGACTTGGTAACCACATTGGAGAAATCGATAAAAAGCCCATTGATTTTCATGTGCCGCAATCACAACAAAGAAATGTTACTTATTCTGAAAGTTATACACGCACATGTATGTACATATGTATGCATGTATGTATGTATGTTTGTATAAAACTAGGTTTGTTATGTATTGGCTCAAATGACTTGGGAAAAGATTTATGTAACGGATTCTTTTGGCTTGTAATAAGTAAACAACAAATATAGAAAGCGCAATCTATAAAATGAATTTGGGTACGCTGAATAAAGTGTTATCTGGATTTATGTGTTCAATGATACAAATTTTAAGAAATATTCTATGATTTGTGAGCTTTATTTTAAAACTTTTAAACTTCTATTATAAGCGTTTTGAACTGAAAGTGCACAAAATGTTTATAATCATAGTTCTTCTCTGTTTGCCAATCTTAATACCAGTTTTATTAAGTTCACTACGTTAATGGCTTACTGGTTAGGCCACTTTAACAATAGGTAGAAAGTTAAGGGTCTTGTGTAGGGTATTTGAAGAGGTCTACTCCTGTGGGAAGTTCGACGAAAAAAGAAATTTCAGTCGGCGAAAATGGGGAAACGAGGCCAATTGGCAAGAGGCCAAACGGCGACGAAAAAGAGCAGCAGACGAAAAAAGCAGCAGAGGACACCGAAGACAAAGCGACGCAAGAGACCCACCAAGTGGCCAAAATATATATCATAGATGTTAAGTTTGTGATTTTGGTATAACTACGCTTTTGTGGGATCTATTGTTTAGTGGTATAGCAACTCACCCCATCAGCCAATCGACCGTGTCGCGTAGATATTCCGGAATTCGCTCCAGTTTGACGGCTCTTTTTCCTGATGCCTGCTAATTTTCCAAAAAGTTTTTCCCCAGCTGAGGAGCGCACGCACACAGTGACGGGCGCACAGCAACACACTCACGGACACGCACACACACACACGCTCACGGTTTAGCGGTACGCACACGGACACGCACGCACACCACCACACGCCACCAGGATGTGGAGATCGCCAATTTCGACGCTTTTACTTTTTTCGTCAATCAATATTTGGGTGATTTGGTTTTGAAACTTTGCACATCAAAAATTTTTCCTGCTTCTTCTTCGCTTGTTTGTGCACTTTGTTGAGTCCCGTTATCGATGCGGACCAATAGCTATCGATAGTCTCCGAATGCGCATTTTTTCGATAGCAGCTGCGCAGTTTTTGTGGGGAAGGTTTTGTAAGTGGTTCAAAATCAGGAAATACCTGTTTTGGTTTACCTTCTGGTTTGAAATTGGTAGCTGTTGCGAGAAAATTATGTTTATTGTGCTATTGTCATTATCGATTGAACAACTGCTGTTTTGAGTCTGCATCCCTGGTTGTTGACAATCAGCTGGTCGTCAGCAGGGGCGTTGCAGAGGGGATTTTAATGTGTTTTCGAAGAAGTAAAATATTAAATGTAACCCTTTTAAGCTGTAAGCATTTATAATTTATTATAAATAAAAAATATATTGTTTTATTTGCATTCTCAATTTATTTATAGTTGTTATAAGCATAAATAATTCAACATATATATATTATAAGCAGGAGTAAAACAACCTTATATGTTATATGCATTTAACAGTTTATTTAAACTAAATAATTAACTACTTCGATCTAGAAAGGAGTAATTCAAGAGTGTCCCTCTTGTAGTTTTCTCTACTACACCCATGTGGCACAAAAACAGCTATCGGAAATATAAATATAATAACAATTGAGGTCATGTCAATAGAATAAATCTGTATCCGTTTAAATTTTAAATTAAAAATTCGATTTGTCTATTAAATATATAAATCATATTCAAATCATAAGCACTGGGTAATTCTGCTTATTGGATGCTATCGATAGTTCCATTCGGTAGAGCGACAACCCTTCAACTATCGATTACACAACAGCTGGCAGCAGGCCATGCAGTTTCACTGATTTTACAGCTGTTAAAATTACATAAAAATGGTACATAGTTAAATCACCTGGTTTTAGTCGACAACAATCGTGAAATATTCTTCTCCATTTCATATACTCAATGGCCACCAACCCAAATCATTTGACCCCGAAGGCGAGCTCCGTAATTCTGGCCGGACTTGGAGTGGCCGCCGTGGGATTCGCCGGGAAGCACCTGATACGCCGCATGCCCCAGATGACCACCAAATTCAATGAGGCTCTGAAGAACCTGCCCAAATTCGATGCTGAGAGCATGGCGGCCTCCAAGTACTACAAAGGTGGCTTCGATCCCAAGATGAACAAGCGGGAGGCCTCCCTCATCCTGGGCGTCAGTCCCAGTGCGTCCAAGCTCAAGGTAAGACTGTTCGGGATTCTGGCTTAAAGAATTCGATTAGTGTGCTTTACCAGTTCTTAAGAAAATCTTGAAATATTCACTAGTTTATTTGGCTTTTCTTTTGACCTTTTAAATGTACACCTTTAATTCGGAGTTCAAAAGTCGATGTAATTTTAAGCGTTGGTTATCGTAATTATATTTTAAAATTTAACTAATTGTATTGTAATTGTATTTGATGTAAATATTTGCAGCTATTCTACCAATATTTTTATAAGATTTTGTTTAATATCAAACTGCAGTAGTATATAAAATCAATAGTTTGCTAAAGATATTAATACCTGTTACTGGTAGAGTCAAAGGTCGTTGAAAACTATGTAGCTATGTATAAAGTATATATATTCTTGATGAGGATCCAAAGCCGATTTAGCCATGTCGCCTGCCATGCATCAAAAACTCGAAATTGCTAAGACAGAACTTGGTTTTTAGTAAATCGTCAACAAAAATAATAAATTTGAAACTCGGCTAAAAATATTAAATTGACAATTTACTTATTATTGTTTTCTTTTGCAGATAAAGGACGCTCACAAAAAGATCATGTTGTTGAACCATCCGGATCGAGGCGGTTCGCCCTATTTGGCGGCCAAAATCAACGAGGCTAAAGACTTTTTGGACAAAGCCAAATAGAGATTGAAGTGCAAATAAAGTAGTTTGTGATTAGCATGTAAGCTGAAGTCTTATGCGTTTTATTTCCATTTTCTAACTATTTCTTATTTAACCAATAGAATGATTACAATGGCTGTAATTTACCTTTGTGGTTAGTAATGACTTATGAGTTGAATATCTGTATGTACATATGAATTGTTGGGTTTTTCTTTATGTATTACAAGGTTTTTTTGTTTTGGTAATGCTTTAACATTTGGCTTGTAAAGAGGACCTTTTAATAAATAATTAAATTAAGTTATGATAATAGCGCTATTTTTATTAATTTTCACTTGGCAGAAGTTCTATAGACCAACAAAATTTTTTTAATAAACTTATTTAAACTTTAAACAAATTTTTCGCAGAGGCAACCATGTCCGAGTCCAAGGTATACGTGATTCGGAAGACAAACACACTGGTACATCCAACAGAAAATGAATTTAATTTTACATGTCAGATGCTCTCCCAAATCGCATTCTAAGATGAAAGGAAGTATTTTTAATGTATATATTTTGAATAGATATGATTAAAGTCTCTCACGCATACGCATCATTGGGTTGTGCATCGCTGCAACTATATTTATGCTTAGACAAACAAGAAGAGTAATCAGGCACTTAAAAATCCACTTCATTGTTCGTGTGAGACTTGTTTGCAAATGTGCGATGGGTTTTGTATTGAACGACATACTCAGTTTTCTGGAAATGCTCAGAAAAACTTTAAGCGTAAACTGTTTATTGTATTGTAAATATTGCACCGGGTACTGTAAAGCCTTTTGCACAATAAACCCAAAAACAAACTGTAATACGTGTTATATACATATGTTGTTATTTCAAGTATCTAATACAAATTGCATTCAAAATTATTGACACATAGGAGCGTGGTGGTATTAATATTTTTTATTCGATTTTTGCCAAATTAAACAGAAAAAAAGTAATAATATTTGTGTTTTTAAAAAAATATGTAAAAAAATGTTCAGAAAATCCTTTAAAATCACAATCACCTCAAAGTGGTGTGTTAATTTAAATATACAAACAAAAATTAAAAAATAACTAAAATAACTGGAAATTAAGTACTTATTATATACATTTACCAAAAACAGAATCGATCTTACAATCCTGAGGAGATAGTTATAATACTCTTGCCAATTATTGTTAGGGATTAACCTAACTTTATTCAAAAGTTATTTTTATACGGTTTTAGCTACTGTTATAATAATTTATTGGAATAAACTCTCTGTCATGTGACAGTCTGTCTCCATACTTCTTTTCATGAGTTTAGACTAAATGGCAAAACAACAGCTGCAACCCGGAATAATTTCTTTTTGTTCAAGCACTTGTGGTACATTAATTTTTTGCGAATTTTTTATTTACTCGACCCCGATATAAATGACGTATTAGGTTCTCACGCTGAAACGTAGCTGGAATTGGCAGACTTTGCAGATCCAAATGAGATGTTTGCTTAGCCCATTGTTGCAGCCACCAAATGAGGTATAAATAGTGCGGGCAAAGCTCCAGAACAGCATCAGTTGATCGCACTACAAACTAATCAGTCATAGCTATGAAGTTCACCTGCGCTCTGCTCCTTTTGGCCACCGTGGCATTCGTCCTGGTTGGCCAGTCCAGTGCGGCCAGTTCCACAACCACGACAGAGGCGGCGACGACCACCACCACTGCAGCCACTACCACCACCACCGCCACCACCACCACAGCCTCTTCCACGGCCAGCAAAGCCACGACAGAGGCTTCATCCGCCAAAAAGAAGCATGTGATTCACTACAAGCGCAGGGTTACCAGGCCCAAGAAGGTCAGAAAGACCCGGCGCAATAGGAGCAGGAGGAGCACCAATTAAATCCTTACAAACACTTGCGACCTGATCCAGAACCACCAGTTACCAACCCCCCTTCAACTACCAACTTCCCTTAATCCTTAATCACATCCCAAAATGGCTTTATAATTTTATTTTATTTACTTTATGGCTTTAAATAAAAAATGTAGAAAAAAACATTGATTTCCATACACCTTACATAAGAGCGGTATAGATAGAAGTTCAAAGCTTCAACTTATTTAAAAAAAACTTCAACTGAAAAATCTGAAAATATATTTTTATTACGATTACTTATTCGATAAAAAACATTTTCTATGCCTTTGTGTCATTATGTGGCTTATTAGGAAAATCTAGAGGAGTTGACAGATGGCATATTTATTATTATTATTGACTGTGCAAAAATATATATATATATATAAATCGCTTGAAAATTTCATTTGTATCTTAAGATTCCTGGCAGTGTGAAATCATTCTGTCTGATTACTGATCTTCTTCATTTCAGCACGAAATTGTGCAACGGATGCCATGGAATCCTGATCCTTGTGCTCACCCATTAGGTTCGTCCAGATCGACTCAAAATCATCTTTCGAGAGAATACCCTTGAATATCCGTTCAATTTCGTCCTTGCAACGCAACACTTTGAAATCACTTGGCCACAAGCCGCATAAAGTGGATAACTCCGGATTCAGGACGTCCGTGACATGTGTGTCATCCACATCCTGCTGGACTGGTGACTTGTGGGGATGTCTGAGGATTGGACCTTCGACGGGTTTCTTTGCCAAATCAGCGCACAACTGACGATAGGCAGTATCCTGGTTGTAGATCGTCTGCGGCGTGGGTGAAATGGAGCCAATCAATGGCAGCGACTTCAAAATGGAGAGCAGTTGGCACAAATCGTCGTATTTGACACGTTCCGAACAGCAGCCCTCGTCCACAAACAACTTAAAGTGCGAGACGGCGGTACGGATTTTTTCCGCATCCGCCGGAATATTCAACTTGCGCATCACTTGAATGATCTCGTCCAATGGAAGCTGGCGAATGGCCTGCTTATCCTTCTTCTCCAGCGCCACAATCACCTGGTTCATGTTGAACTCGTCCCGTTCCTGGAGCATTTTTCGCAGCATATTCAAGTGGCTGATTGCACGGGCCAACTTGTCGGATAAAATTGAAGGTGCTGTGTTTTCCAGCAGCGATCGCACATCCGTTTCACGTGGTGATGTGCGACCAAAGGTCATATTTTCCGGGATCTGGTACGGATACCATCTGTAATGGTGGGAGTTTATTCCAAAATTTAATTAAATATTTTTGGATACCCACTTGTACTTCTTGCCCAACGGACCCTTGGTGCGATCGTCTAAATCCATTTGCGGCTTTTTCACAATTATCAAACGCTCCTCGCCCTCCGCCAAGCAGCGTTTTACATTTATTCCGGAATGATCCACAAAGAGTGGAGTACCAAATGTATTGAGCCGATTAAAGTGCTGTGAATATCTACTCCAAAAATTAGCTATTCATTTCTTATAGCCGTTTTCTCAATGTCAGGATGTAAGATTTTAGACTTAATGTCGGGTTAAGTTTTTTAAATTGGCACTGAAACTTTAACCCAATTATTTACTTTAGTGTTAAGAAAGATTTTAGTTAAACTTGACATGACATTGAGAAATTGGCCTTTAAGGTGAGAGTGACTCAACCCACCGACGATTGATCTGTTCCGAGGGAAAGTAGTGATTGTGACTGATGATGTGTTTGTCGTGAAATTCGCCATACTCGCGATTGACTTGCTCGGCAGTTTTGCGGGGCATTACAACAGCGTAAAGGGAATCTTCAGCATTGGAGACTCGACCGAAAGTACGGCTTAAATTTGTCACATCATCCGGTTTGGAGTTGCATTCCCTGGCCTCACCCAGAACAGGCTTCTTGAAGAACATATTCTCGCGAAACTTTTCCTGAAACTCGGCAAACAGACCCCTATCCTGATTGCCAAAAATATTTTCGATTTTATTGGTGGGTAACTTGGGCGTTCGTTTGCCATACGGTTTGGCCTTGTGCTGCCGACAAAGTGCCCTAATACGATTCTCCGCCTCCTCCTCCATGTTCACGATCTGGATGCACTCCTTGGTGCCGTATAATTCTGCAGGATTGCCAAAAGACATCCGTCCTGCAGCCCGCATATCGGGATTTCTGTCTTTGTAACGGCCAAAGTTCGCCATTTCTACTATTTCGATCTATTCAAGTGGTTATGATATAGAGTATATGTATGTTTTCTACAGGTTTTGAAATATCAGAACCCACATACTTTGATTGTTTTTGGAATGTAAGAATAAAATTAAATTAAATTAAAATTAAATCCACTCTGGCTACAATATTTTTTATTCGGCATAGCTTTCTTGTTTATTTTTCAATTGCGTAAACATGTGATAATGTATTGAAAAGGACTAATCTTAATCTTTTTTTCTCAGCATCTCATCACGAAACTGCATAACTGATGCCATATCCTTCCGATCCGAATTGTCATTATCGGCCATTAGTCGCTGCCAAATGAGTTCAAATTGATCCTTGGCGACGATTTTGTCGAATATCCGCTCCATTTGATCCTTGGTCCGTGGGCAACTGAGGTCACTGGGCCGAAGTCCAATTTTGGTGCTCAGTTCCGGTTGCAGGAGATCCCTGACATGTGTGCTGACATCGTCCCTTTGGTGAGAACTCCAGTTGGGCAAGTTAAAGACTACACCACCCGGGTTATTATTCTTCATGCGATCTTTGCAAAGACTTCGATAGGTGGTTTCCTTACTGTACTTATAGTCCGGAACGATGCCAATCAATCCGACTTCCGGCAGTGGTTGCTGAACGGAGAGCAACCGGCAAAATTGATCGTAATTCACACGCTCGGTGGCACAGCCTTCGTCCAGGAACTTCCGGAAATGCGATAGCATGGTGCGGATCTTCGCCTCGTCCACACGGATATGCAGTCTGTACATGATTTGGAGGATCTGGGAGAGTGGCATGTGTCCCGAGTGCTCCTTGTCGCTCCTCTCCAGCGATGCGATCAGGTCCATCATGTAGAAATCATTCCGCTTGTGCAGACTCTCACGCAGCCTGTTCAAATAGGATAAAGCATTCACCAACGTATTGTCCTCTTCGCACGGACTTATGTCCTCCAGCAACATTTTAATTGTACATTTATCCGTCCGCCGGCGACCACCAAAGTACAAATCGGGCACCTCATCTAGGTATCTAATGTAAAACATAAAAATATATAATATTTTGTTAGAACAACATTTTTGTTTCAATTACTTAATAAACTATTGTCCTCTTACACTTTCAAATATATTTTTAATTTTACCTAATATTAAACCAAACCATCTGGGTTGTAAAGTGTCTTTATACAAAATTTTTAAATGTTTGAAATATCAAAAAATAATTCTTTAAAAATGATAACTTTTATGATTAGGTCCCTTTTTTTATTTATTTTTATTATCAGGAAATTAAAAGTTAGTAGTAAACTAACCATTTCAGCAATTTGCGACTTAATTTTAGAAGTAATTGGGCCTGAATTGACAACACTTGAGCAAATAACAAAGAATAAAGTGAAGTCATGTTGGCAAATTATTTACTGTCTGTCTAAAACATTCATATGTATATGCAAGCAGAGGAAAGCTGCTGTGGAATTTTTTAAAAATACCTTTACAAGAAGAAAAGCTTTAAAAGTAATTGCAACCTTTTTCTGACAATTCAATAGTAAAAGTAACCAACTTTTGGTATTTTTTCCCCAAAGGTCCTTTGGTGCGCTCTACGTAGTCCATCCAGGGTTTGGAGACCACAGTTAAGTGCTCGTCACCTTGCATCAAACACTTTTTCATCGTCGATCCAGTGGTATCGGCGCCTTGCAAAACCCCAAAGGTACCACTTCGATTAAAGGGCTTTGTGTATCTAATAATTATAATAATCATATAATAAGAATATAAACTCAAAGTATATTAAGTATACGAAACGTTTGTGCAAGTTAAACTGTTTAACACAAAATATGCAACACTTTTCTCATACTCTAATTTAGCCAACTATGATATGTAAGAGTAACAAAAGATTAATTCTAATTTTTGCCATTTAAATTAAGCAGACGAATAACTTTGCTTTTTTCACTGCGTTGCCGGTTTTAATTTAAACTTATCTCAATGAGATATCTCAAATAACATTAGCTTACAAAGTTTAGTCGACCATTTTTTATATTTTTTTGATTATATTTTGCATATTATTTTTTCGTTATTCAACTATTTTTATTAGTACTTAATGTATTTATTTATATAGTTTTCTCTAATTATTTAAATATATTAGGGACATTTTCTTTACTACGGATTTAGTTTTATAAGTTAGTAATATGTAATATTTTAATTTACATTCAAATAAAAATAAATGCAAAGTAAGTAAACCAACCAACCTGCGATTGATCTGCTCAGAGGGAAAGTAATGGTTATTGCTGACGATGTGACCCTCATGGAACTCTCCATATTCCCGGTTAACCTGCTCGGCCGATTTGTTCGGCATTACGGTGCTATATAGAGTATCCGATGGCGGATTGGCACGTCCGAAGGTGCGACTCAAATTGGTCACATCATTTGGCTTCGAATGCGTTGGCATTATTTCAGCGATTTTACCCGACTTACAGTACATGTCCTCGAGGAACTTCTCCTTGAAGACCGAGAAGCGTGACTTCTGACCTTCACTGCAGAGCAGTTCGCCGATTTTGCTGTCCGGCAAATGTGGCTGAAGTTTTCCGACGGGCTGCGCCCGATTCCTCCTGCACTCGAACTCCATACGGCTGCGGATTTCCTCCTCCGGGTGCGCAATGATCAGGCAATCCTTGGAGGTCAGGACTTCTGGCCCAAAGGAGGGTAAGCCAGCAGCCCGCTGGTTGCCATTCCTCTCGATAAAGTGTCCTTTGTTTGCCATTGCCGACGGTCTTGCTTTGTTTCCTATCCTAGTCGTAGTATGTTATGTATGAAGTGTTCTCTGAGTGTCTTTTATTTTCTGAGTGAACCTAATTTTTTTTTTTTTTGACATTTCCAAGACTTTTCTGTTCAGTTATTGGGGCTAAAAAGACAGACACCGCTAATTAGTATTGGTATTGTTTCTTAGTTTTTAAAACTTATATATTTCCATATAATGGAATAAAAACAAAAGGCCAATTAAAACCAATGTGGACGTACCACAGATATGTGTTTAAAGGGCCAGGCTTTGTTTTCCACTTATAAAATTACAATAACATTGTACCTTTTAAAAGATATAATATATATAAAACTATGAGTAGAAGTTATAAAATTGGCAAATAGTTTATATCATCTATAGAAAAATGTGCCTGAAAATACAAAGAATTTTTAACAGAATTAACAAACCAAGATTAGGCCTTCTCTTTGATGAAAGAATATGCTCATAATTTGTTTAGGGAAGATTTTTTTAATTAATGCACAAAAGGGTTTATAAATGGGTGATCTTAAGATGTTCTTAGTTCTTCCTGCGGGTGACAATCACGACGGTTTTGTGGCACCTTTTTGGGTGCTTGCACTTCTTCTTGGGGATGCGGGTGTGGCACCAGTTGTTGCCCTTCCAACAACGCTTCTTGTGGGTGGATGAGGCGGTCGTAGTGGCTGTTGTTGCCGCTGTGGTTGTGGTTGTTGTAGTGGTGGCAGCAGTGGTAGTAGTGGTAGTTCCACTTGCAGAATAAGCCAACTGAATGGCCAAGGCAAAAAGGGCGACCACGAAAAGGTACTTCATCTTGAACGATCTTGGGATCCTTGTAAACTACTGATGAAACCAAATCAAAAGGAGGAGAAACCTTCTCAAATTGGTGATATAGAGTGTTGTGATTAACCAGAGCAAGATCTGATTCTTTTATAGGTGAATTCCATTTCAGTCTTTTTCCTCGTTTGTTGCTGTTGTAAACATTTGTCAAATGATTTCCTTGATTTATAGGTAAATAGCTTATTGACAATATGATGGTGGGAAATCTAATAGTTGGAAAACGGTAAAATGGTATATGGTTTACTGACATGTAAGCGACAGCTGTTCAAACCCACGTAACTGCTTTAAAAATAGTATTTGATTATCATGATTTACCGCTGAAGCTAAAAAATAAGCAAACAGACCTAGAAATAATGATAATATTTTAAAATTTATTATTTTAATATAGATGTTATTGCCAAAAGTTGTTGTGAGACAATATGAAGTTCATGTGTCTGATGGATACTGGTTCGGTAATCCTTGTTTTCCTATTTACCTTGGTATGGATGTGATAACCAATTCGAATTCGTATGCCTGATCTTTTTAAAATGTCATTATAAAGTTTTTCAAAAATTATCACATATATTGGATAAAGGTGGTTCAAGGTCACTTTATGTAGCGTATTACCAAAAAAAAAATTTTTTAAATCATGTACAAATAAACATTTAAATAACGTTTGCTTATAATTTGAGAAGCAATCAAACACAAAACATGAGGAAAATGTAAAAAAATGATTATTTATAAATTCGTTTGCAATTTATTCAATAGCTTTTTAAAAACATAACTTATAACATGTTTTTAAAAAATAAAAACCAAGACTGTATCATAAGACAATAATTTGATTACCCATCGATAGCCAACGCTTTAGATACATTTTTTATGATCAGAAAAATGATATTTCGCTGGATAAATTTCGTCGTGTTATTGAAGAAAAAGTGTAAGTTTCGGACTTATGCAAGGAATAACAAAAATTGAGTGCCAAATATTTTGTATGTATTTATTTTTCAATTTAAATTATGAAATGAAGATTAGTTCTTTCTGCGTGTGACTATCACGACGGTCTTGTGGCACCTTTTTGGGTGCTTGCACTTCTTCTTGGGGATGCGAGTGTGGCACCAGTTGTTGCCCTTCCAACAACGCTTCTTGTGGGTGGATGAGGCGGTCGTAGTGGCTGTTGTTGCCGCTGTGGTTGTTGTAGCCGCTGAGGTTGTTGTAGTGGTGGCAACAGTAGTAGTTGTGGTAGTACCACTTGCAGAATAAGCCAACTGAATGGCCAAGGCAAAAAGGGCGACTACAAAGAGGAACTTCATTTTGGATGCTGTGTAAGTAAGTTGAAGAGCTTATGAAACACTTGATTTTAAGTCAGATCGAAAACCTGTGATCGAGTGTTGTGGTTGACTGAAGTTCGAGTTAACCCATTTATAGCTCTCCAGTAATTTCCGCAGTTGTTCCGTTTCTTGCTTATAAAATCTTTACATTAGTCAAATACAAATTATATAAATGATTTCCTCAGTTAATACACGGAACTCAACAGTAAGTTAATATTTGCCCGCCACAAAATCTGTTCGCCCAAAGTTAGGCTATATTTTGTGAAGCGGGCTAAATAAGAACGACCTCGAATTTGTATAATTCAAACAAATTTGTATTTACTTTACTTTGAATACTATTAATATGGTACTACTATTTATTATTGACTTTATTACCTATTTGGGTCGAAAAATTTAAATAAAGTTCGCTTAAATTTGTAATGCTCAACAAATATTTTGTTGTTTAAATTTGAGTTACTTAACTTTAGCGTTTCATAAGGTAAAGTTTTCACATGATAAACTAATTGGAGGTCATTTAGAATAAATACCTATGTAATACGTAGGCAAAGTTCAATAAATCCATAATTTGTTTGATCTTGAATTTTAGTTGTTTAAGATAATTTGCCTTTATTTTCTTTAACGTTTTAACTGTTGTAGTAGAGTATTGGCCAATGTTTTATGTAGAGTACTTTTACGTGGCATTTTTATGATGCATCTCGATATGAAATTGCCTGACGGATGCCGTATTATTCTGGTCCTTGTGCCCGGCCATCAATGTTTGCCAAATATCCTCAAATTTTTCGGTTGGAACGAGTCTCCTGAAGATCCTTTCGATTTCTGACTTGGGTCGCAATCGGGTAAAATCGCTGGGCTTGAGGCCACATAAAATGGCCAGATCCGGTGCCACGAGATCCTTTACACGAGTTCTATCCTCCTCGAAGTGCTGGCTTCCAATCACTGGATCCTCGTTGGCCCGCTTATGACGATCGGAGCAGAGCAAACGATAAGTGGTGTCCAGGCAACTGGCATCGGAAATTGGATTTAAATTACCCGTTTTGGGCAGTGGCTCCTGAATGGAAAGAAGTCGGCAGAAATCCGAGTAGTTTACACGCTCCGTGGCACAACCCTCGTCGATGATCATATGAAAGTGGGACAATGCAACACGTATTAACTGAGAGTCCAGACGAATGTGAAGGTTGCCGATGATTTCCACAATTCGTGACAGTGGCAGGTAACCCGATTTATTGTTGTCACTTCGCTCCAGCATGGAGATCAGGCCATGAAAATCCAGACTTTTCCTCAGGCTGTGGCGCTTCCTGTTCAAATAGCTAATGGCATCCAACAATTGGTTAGATTTATCGCAGGGCACAATATTATGAAGAAGCATTTTTACATCGCCATTGCTGCGCAGAGGTTGGCCAAAAGTTATGTCAGGAACCGCACAAGAATACCTATTAAATAGAGAAGATTATCAAGGTTTTTCTTTTAGGCATATCATTTCACAAATAATGCAGTATCTGAATTCCTACCTATTGAGTTTTTTGCCCAAGGGAGCTTCTGTGCGGTTCATAAAATCCATTTGGGACTTGCCAATAACCTTGAGATGATTTCCACCCTCCTCAAGACAGCGTTTCACTTTAAGTCCAAAGTCACCGAGACTATGGAAATCTCCACAAGGGGAATTGCGGTCAAATGATTGGGAATATCTAAAGAAAAAGGTTTACAAATTGGAGGATAAAAGGGTATTCAACGCTATCAAAAGTATGTAAAATCAAAGATTATCTTATAGATATAGTTTAAAATTTAAAATATCTAAAGAAAAAGGTTTAAATAATGGAGGATAAAAGGCTATTAAACGCTATCAAAAGTATGTAAAATGTAAGCTTATCTATAGTTAAAGTTTAAAATTAAAACTGATCAAAAGATATAGACTACCTACTTGCGATTGATCTGTTCCGATGGGAAGTAACGATTGTGGCTAATGATGTACTTGTCGTGGAACTCTTGGTACTCCCGATTCACCTGCTCCGGCGACTTGGGCGGCAATATGATTGAGTAGAGAGATTCGGAGGGGGTTAGATTCGACGGACGTCCGAAGGTTTGGCTCAAATTGGTCACGCTGTCCGGCTTGGAGAACGTTGGCTTGGCTTGAGCCAAATTCGCCTTCTTGTGGTACATCTCCTCGTAGAACTTCTCCTTGAAGGACACGAAACGAGACTTCTGCAGTTCGCTGGTCAGCAATTCGCCGAGGCTGCTGGTGGGGATGACTGAACCAGCAGGAAGACTATTCCAAGTGTTCCTCTCAAGTTGGCACTTGGCACGCACCACATTCTCGGCTAACTCCTCCGTGTTGTTGATGATCAGGCATTCCCTCACATCGCCTTCGCCATCTAATCCGATGGTGGACAGTCCTGCGGTTGGAATATCTGCGTTTCTGTCCACAAAGTGTCCTTTGTTGGCCATGTTTACTGTGTGTGTGTGTGTGTGGTATGTATTTAAGTATTTACTGATTGTTGATAAACCTTAAATTGACATGACAATTGAGCTCGATTTGGCATAAAAAGCTACTAGAAATCTTTCTATAACAAATTTTTGCTTGAAAAATTAAATTTTAAAAAGTTGCATGCAATAATAAGCTTATAAAGTCGTTAAACTTACATAACTGCTCTTAAATAACTGCTTACAAAAACGGTTTTATATCTCTTTTAAATATATAATGATTTAATTCCTTTTTATTCTTTCTGCACAACAACTATACAATTATCATATTTTTCAATGATTATATCAATAAATAGCAGTTACTTTTAAATAATAAATAATTAGTTTAATTGGTCTTGCAAATGAGTATGTTTACATGTCAAATAATTTATGGCTTAGCACTAGTTCAACTTTAGCTAGGTCTCCTAGTCTATGGTACATGGTATGGTACGAGTACATCATTGCACGTCTCTCTGGCCGCGGAGATGGCAGGTGGTTGTTTTCAGGTGCTTCAGTGCAGGAGATGATTCTTGTGCAGCACAAAGTCCCAGGTGTCCTTCCATCTCAGGCTGCGCACCTCGCCGGTGCTCATCTTTCGCGCTCCGTAACTGAGCGGTATGAACTTGAAGAAAATGCTAATCACGCCCACCAGCCACAGGATGAGCATGAGGCGATATAGGCGCACCAGATGGACACCACGTCCAGTGCAGAATCGCCTTAGCAGATAGTCCAGATGATCGGCGACAAAGGACAAAAGGAGTAACTTAAACACAAAGGCAGGCAGGTAGTTGTGCAGGAAGAGTGTGCGATCCACAAAGAAGTACGGCAGGTAGTGTATCAGATAGCCCACGAAAAAGGTGTCGCCGGCGATCAGGAATCGCTGCCACTCCTGCTCTGATATATCGAAGCAAAGACGTTGACGGCGCGCGGCATAGAATGCAAGTAGTCCGGCATAGACGAGTATTCCTGTTGTGGCCGTGTACCAGATGAGTACGTTGCCCAGCAAATAAATCTGCGCACTGGACTCCGAGTCCAGCCAGTAGGCGATGCCCTTGTCCATCAGCGGCCACTCGTGCGGCATCGAGCTGTACATGTGACTTGGCACCGATTTCGTTTGGAACAGCATCTTGGACTGCAGCTCCAGCAACTTGGCCCAAAACGAAATGCGTGTCCGTTTCGTGGGTATCATTTCGGCGCTCAACAGTTGGCGTTCTCGTTCCCGATGGTCCTCAGCTATTAAGGATTGAGAAAAAAATTATATTAACTAACTTTATTACAGGACTTCTTCTCACTTTGTGTGTAGCGATGCTCCTCGACATTCCAGATGGTGTCCTCGCGTCCTCCTCGCTCCCGATCGGCCACCACCTCGTGCTGATTGAAGCCCCAGTCCGGCAGTTGACGTCCACTGAATTTAAGGGTGGCTCCCGTCGTCTCGTGTACCAGCCGAATTTCCGACTTGATGGCATGCCAACTGTCGCCCTCAGAATCGCGATTCAGAATCTCCACGCGCCACAACAGCTCACCGGCCATCTTGATCTCGTAGTCTATGTAGCAACTGACCTCCTGGCACTGCGGCGTCATCGCGGCAGCCACATCGTGCGAATTCAATGCGCGACTGGTGATTCCGTGCACCAACTGGATGATGTCGCCGTGCCGAATAACATCGGGGTTATCGCCCACCACCAGGTTTTCCTTTGTCGGTCGCTTCACCAGCCACCAGTTGTTCACATCCTTGAAGGAATAGCAGGTGACCTGCTGCTGGTGGGAGGAGCCCCTCTTGTCCGGATACCGCACCGGATAGACGGCTGCATGCGAGTGCAGCCAGCAGGTGCGTCCGTGGGTGTGGCGCAATGTGATCTGCGATCCATGGACCACCGCCAGCGGTTGGCCCCGCGTAATCGATGCCAGTCCACCTTCCAGCGACGCCTGAAACGCACTGGTCATGATGCTGTCATGCGGTCCAGCGCGATGAAGCGTCCGGAAATGGACGTAGAAGACACCCACGTAGACGGCTATGGGAATCCCAACGAAGATCACCAGGCGACTTATTGCGTGCATCCACAGCTGGCGATCTGAAAAGGCAGTTTGCATTTTAGTTTAGAGGAATATTAAGTTTTATTTCCATAATTTTAAAAACTATAAAAAATTGGAAAGCCACAGCTAACTTTTTTTATTACAATTACATTTACTTTGAAAGTTGCACTTGTTCAAATATTTTAAAAACATTGGGTTTTGAGCTTTGGAAGATTAAACTTTGAAATATATGATGTATATATCTTTACATAGCACTCTATTGAAATTTATAACAAATTTGAAATTGGTTGGAAAAGTTACTGAGCTTTAAAAGCAATTAAATATTTGAGAATACATTGCCACAACTAATCAAAGTTGTATGTAGTGCCAATAAATATTGAAACCACATATTAAGCATACGCAATGGTGGCACAACTAATAAAGGAATTCTGTGATTCTTATTTGATAAAATTAACATCTTACTAGTTAGAGTCGCGTCGTAGAGCAGCTGCCACAGGTGTCGACAAAGCATATAGAAGGCCAGACCTAGCGCCAGAAATCCGATGTACTTGACCGTGCCAGCGGCGCCCAAGAAGACGGCCGCCGCCGAT